GTTGAATTACAACCAAATTATGTGGTTGATTAAGAAATGATCAAAGCCTCTGGTACCAATGCAAAAATTCTTGCCTTGTTCAAGGCAGCAAATTTAATATAAATTATATTATTACTTTATTGTTGTTTCTCATCAGTCATCTCTAATTCTATATTTATTTACTCCCTTTCTAAAACTAGTTGATGGTGAGCAGCTCATCTCATTTATCATGTTAGATCTGTGTCCTTTACAACCTGAATCTTTCTGTCCAGGTCCTCACTGAAGGCGGCCGCGTGCTGCTGGAACACGGAGGAAGTTTCCGCAGTTTTATCAGCCAGGCTGGAAACGACGCTCGGAAGATGGTGGAGCTTATTGTGGAGAAGATCCCATCCTACAGGGATGAAGCTACCTATGAGGTCAGTGGACTGAATAAACACAGAAAAGGATGAGGAATGTCTGAAATTATACAAACTGCAAAGATATTCAGTAGGTATCAACTGTCAGTTGCTCCCACTGTCTTTGTGGTTTTCTGGCCTCCTTAGGGTTAGCTACCTTCCACAGCCTACTTTCTTAATATTTAATCCTTTGATTATTAAACCTCACATTAAGCCTATTACATTTCTCTTAAACAGCTTAAAACTAACTGCCTGCGGAGGACTTTGAAGAAATGTTAACATGATGGTTCCCCCTTCTGTCCAAAAGTAGAATGACATATATCTTGATGCTGATCAAAAGTGTTCATCTTAAGGGTCGCTCACAGTTTTCAGCATTTTTTTTGTGTGTTTTTTAAGTAAAATATAAAAAATTGTGAAGGACACCCTTAAACTACTGTTACATAGTGATTCTTAATGTGTTGAAGTAAGAGCAATAAATTTCAGTAGTTGGAGGCTGAGTGAAGATTAATTCAATGTTGTGCTAATCTGCTTATTGTTTAAGGGCAAAAGGATCTCCCTCTACAAGCGAGCCCAGATCTTAGTAGCAGATTTCTGGGGTGTGATGGAAGCCAGAGGAGAGGGTGACATCATCAACATGGACTGGCTCACCATGTTTGCAGACTACAGGGTCCCTCAAGCACTCGTGTATTTGGGAGTGCTGCGATACTCTGATGCACTGATGCAGGCGTTGAAGAACGGTGAGAAATGGAGACATGAGTGTTTACTCGATTTGATTAATGTATTTGCTTTCTTTAAGAAAATATTCATACCTTTAAAACATTAACACGTTTTTTGTTGCACAAATGGGCGCCTGCTCTGCTGCTGCACCACATTACCATCCAGCCTTCTGTCTTTCTTAAAAACCAGAAGCTTTTATTAAGATTTTTCTGTTTGGCCAACACAAAGTTTCAAATAGTTGGATTGAGCTGGAAGCAAAATATAAATCTGAAAAGTGTGGCCTGCTTCTATATTCTGTACCCCTGACTCAATACTATGGCGTATGATTTATTTATGGCACTTACTGCTTCATATATTTTGCTCATTGTTTCCATCAGTTTTGCATATCTGGAAATTTGCCACTTGGATTTTAAATGAGAGCATCTCCAAACATCGGTTTGGAAATTTTGCCGCGTATTATGAACAGGATTTAGGTCTGGGTTTTGACTAGATCATTCTTACAGCAACCATTTTCCTTCTCCTTGTCTTTGAATAGGGGAGGGGTCACACTAAAGGGGGAAAATCTCAGCCAAGAACATTACGCTGCTCTGCACCAAACTCTATCAAATACTTAATTTTTATGTGTGGAATCAACTTATATATTGTTGCTATGCATTATGTTTTATCAGTTTACGGCATTTATTTAAATTATTATAAACAAAAATGTGATTAGAATTGTACTTGAAGTTTTTAATTGAACCAAATGTTGCGTTTTACCTTGTGTTTTGCATGCAGGCTTTGGTTTTGTTTCAGAGCACCTTTTTCCACATGTTTGCTAAATTCTTTCTTACCTCTTCAAAAAGATCAGATTTCAGAAGTGCACATCTAATATTTGTGCTCTTGTCTCCCTAAGCTGCGAATGTCTGCAGCTTCTATGGATTCCCCATTACTTTGCTGTAACATATGCACGTCACACTTTTCAGATTTTCCTCTATGACTCTGTTAGTCTCTCATGCTGAATTTCAATATAATATGGGCAAATTCCAAGGTGGCTGTTTTAAACCAACGGAAAACAGAAAGTAAATAATCCTCAGGGGTGATCTCTCTTAGGTGAGCTGCTACCTTCAGGGGATCGGAGGGAGGTCGAGATCCGAGGATGTTCGATTTGGTCTGTGGAGCTGATCAAAGAAAGTCTGCAGAAGCTTATCCAGGAGAGAGACGGAGCAGTCAGCAGCATTAACTCTGCTATCATTGACTTCTACCTTTGGCCTTTTGCTAAGCAGCACCACAAAGAGATGGCCCACATTCCCATTCACCACACACGCTGCATTTACTACTGATCTAAGCAGAGTATTGTGACAGGCTTCATTTTCTGCTGTAAAATAAACTTTGATTAAATAAAACTGGCCAGTTTGCAGTCAGTGAAAATGTTTTCACATTGAATATTTTATAACAAATGTATTTTGTGACTATTGAAGCTATATTATTTAGTTACATCATGCATGTTTTGAAGTGGTCAGTGGGATTGATAAGTATGTTATTGATCCCAAAGGAAAATAAATCTGTAACAAATTCTAACAGATGTTGATAGCTGAAGGCAGGAAGGATCTTCTGCATCAGTCTGTCTTAGATTGGATCTGAAGGAGCCTTTGACTGAAGACACTGTTACAGTCTCCTGCAGATGATGCGAACGGTTCACCTTAAAGTTATTCACTTTATGAAGAATTTGTTTTTGTAGAATCATCTGCAGAGTGTTTGGAGGAGTTCTAGAACAGAGCCGACCTTCTTTATCAGCTTGTCGAGTTTCTTTAGATCAGATGAAAAAAAAGAAGTACATCATTCTTGGTGATTATACCAATGCTGCCTTTAGCTAACAATGCTTTATCTTAAGTTGTTCCAACTGCAAAAAAAATCCTAAAATATTCTCTTTGTACATTTTATAAATGAAACAAATGTTCATAAGTATTCAACAGACTTTAAAGGAACCAATCTAGTGTAAAGTTTTCCCGGTCAGTAGTTTTGCATTTTGAATTAGGGCTGACAAAACAGTCCAGATTCCTTAAAATGGTGGAGCTGGTTTGCTCAGTCCTGGCTTTGCTTTTCTTCTTTTTAATCAGAAGCTGAGAATCAGATTCTTTTTTTTTAGCATTGTTGGTCAAATAAAGTGTCGATATTTTTTTAAAGTGCAGACAATGATCACAACAGAAAAGTGGTGACCAGTCGCAATTTACTGAACATGGAAACAAATGATAGAAGAATTAATGCAACCAAAAAATCACTTTTATAATTTATCCCCAGTTCTTCTGGAAATCTCCGACATTACCAACTCTTAAGCAAGGAGGGATATTTTCTGTATCAAAACACAGATTGTTTCAATTATTGATTGCATTATATAAGACTGCACTTCTCACTTTTTAAATCCATAAATTGTAGAAAATGTCTTTATTTTCATTGTTTTGTAATTTCCGTTCTTTAATAGGCACTAGATATATAGAGCTTTTGTTTTTTTATTGATAGGCATCTTTCTTTAAAAATAAACATAGGATAAGAAACAGAATACCAAACATATAACAAGGCATACCAGGGGGATAGATACCCACGTTAAGACATTCAGTACAGACAAATAATACAACACAAAGATGTTATAATAAATTCAATGAAATTGATTTAAGGCACTAATATATATTTATAGCTGTTTTGTTTGTACCCTTGTGTATAAAGGATTTATATAATCCAGTTTCTTTAATAAGTATTGGAAAAAAGCATTGATAAGAATTTAAATTTGCCAAATATTATTAGATTAATTGCCAGTCTTTTCAATATGTTAGTCCTCTCCCCATGCACACCAGAAATAACATGTTCATAGCATACTGAAAAAAATGGTATCCATATTACAAGTTATAAAGCTATTACATTTCTTCCAAAATGTTCTTGTTACTTTGCGATTTCGAAACAAAGGACTGATCTGGATACTCTTTGCAAAATTTACAATGGGTGTTTATTGTCTGTATATATTTTAACATATACAGGTAAGCGGGGTTAATCCTGTACATTTTAAAAGAAACATTTTTCATTTTGTAGTTCATATAAAAGTTTCTGATGAAATGTCCATAATAGCTTCCACTGGGAACCCGGAGCACAGAGCTGTTAGGTATGTCGGGTTTATGTTCTAAAAATTCAGTAACCTACTATATGCAGTAGATGGCGCTGTTGCCTTCACGACACCTGTCCCGTGCCTTCTTCAACGGCAGACCGTTTTGACATTTATTAGAAGTGCTGTCCTCTATTGTTCCATTTGTTGATCTCTAAAATAAGATTCTTCCTAGTCCGAAATGTACATATAGATATCCTAAAATACATTTTTGCTAGTAAAAATTAAATTTCAGGCTCCCAACAATATAACTGTCCTAGTAAGAACAAACTTTCAAATAGCCTACCTAGAAATCTAGAAATTTTAAGTGGCCCTTTTGAAATTCATTAACTTGACTGGATATATATTTAAGATGTCTCAAATGCATTTCTTCCTAGTCAAAATGAGCATTTCAGATATCTAAAATAACATTCTTCCTATCTAAAACATAAATTTCAGATATCTGAAATGTAACTCTTACTAGGACAAATGAGGTAACTTTTCCCCGTTCATATGTATTGGGCCGTTACTTTCAGATATCCAAAATGACATTACTCCTATTTGAAATAAACATTCTGGATGTCTAAAAATGAATTTCAGATCTGAATATACATATTCAGTCAAGCTAATAAATGTCAAAATGGCCTGCCATATTCTTCCTGCTTTTTGGAAGATGCGTCACATCGGCGTCGGTTGCCGGGCAACCCAAGTCGACAACAAATCCAAAGAGCTGAAGTAACTGAAACTGTAACAGAAATGCCTAAGAACGTTGAACGTGGGTTCTGTTACATGGTTGTCTTGTTATATCAGGAAAATCGCTCATAGATGTTTCAAAATCAGATTTTTGAAATATTTAGGGGTTCGATTTTGTCAAAACAGTGAACCCCATCGTAAGTTTATAGGTTTAATTCGGCCTAATGAGTGATGTTTATAATCGGGTCGCGGTCCGTATCCGTCCTCTGCTCAGCAGAGAGCTCCTCCACCACCACCAGGAGTGTGTCCGGGTGGTACCGCAGGGTTCTGGGCAGGTGATGCTCGGTTCGGACCGCCTCTTCTCTTTCGACCACGCATTCGGACCCACAGCCAGCCAGGATGAGGTGTATGAGAGCTGTGTCCAGCCGCTGGTGGAGTCCCTGCTTGGTGGATTCAACGCTACGGTGTTTTGTTACGGACAAACTGGCTCTGGAAAGACGTACACACTGGGAGGGGGAAGCCAAGGCAAGTTGACCACAGTTACTGTATGTAGTTTTATTTAAAATAAATAAAAATGTGGATATTAAATCTGAATATTGTAAAAGCGATTTGCATATCAGTAAATTCACTTTAATTATCGAACATCAGTGTTCATATATCATTTAGATAAAAAAAAAAAGTCTGTTTTCATTAACAATTTCGATTAATAGTTATCAACGATTAATATAAAATACTGGAATGAATGAGAACAAGATTTTGCTGTTTGAACTGAAGTATTGACAAATGTTTTTATTATCTTTCTATTTTTTAGATTTATCTTTTAACCCCCCCAAGTGAGATCTAGAATCACAAGATCTATATCCAGCCATTCTAAAGATACTGCTACATGGCTGTACATCTTATTTTGGCATTTGACCAATTAAATGAGGCCTTGAATGATATATTACTTACTGTAAATGAGTTAACAAAAGTTAACAAGTGAAGAAAAAAAGGTAAAAAGCTCATTGAAAGGTTAAAAAGTAAAGTTAAAAAGTTAATAAGCCTAGTTAACAGTTATATTTAGGTTTATAAAGTAAATAATATAAGTGCCAGTGCTAGCATTAAAGCCTCTAAGATTATGATGTACCAAAAAAAAGTGTTTTTCACGAATTTCTTATAGAAGCACATTTGTTATTTTTCTTAATATATTCGGGCAAGTTCTTGTTATTACATTGACATTCATTTTTGCCACCCAAAAATCCTTTTTTTCTTAATTTTCCAAAGGTAATAAGGTCTTGTCCTGGATTCCAATAACTCTACTGGCTTAAAATTTTGATTTTTAAAGTATTTCACTGAGTGCCCTATAAAGGGTTAAAGATATTAAAATGCCTTTATTGTCTCAGTTGTAGCAGTTGTAAAAACAAATAGACAGTAAACTTAAATACACAGAAGACTAAATTATATTTAAAGATTAAATATTAAGTTAAAATGTGAGTTCTCAGAGTATAGAAAAGATAAATATTGTGCACACAAGCTTTATTTTGTTTCTCTTCATGCATTGTTGCATTATATACTAATTAATATCTTCATTTAAAAAAATCTCTTTTAGATGAAGGAGGAATTATTGATCGTGTTGCCCAAGATGTGTTTTTGTTGCTGGCAAAGCAGAAGAACAATGACGGCATTAAAGCCGTGGTGCGGGTCTCTTACCTGGAGCTATATAGAGAGGAGCTACGGGACCTGTTGGACATCAACACTAACTTTAAAGAGCTTCACATCAGAGAAGATGAAAAGGGGAATACAGGTAATAATTCTGAATTTCAAATATAATAAAGAAAAATCTAATAAAGAATAGATCACATTCTCAGTTATTTTGTGTGTAATGACATAAATAAAGTAGTGTGATCTTTGCCAGGTTTTAAGACTGATTAAGTATAATAGCAAGAGCACAAAAGCACACTAAATATGTCCACACTTATTATAAAAACAGGATTTTGTCTGTCCAGCAGATCTTATTGTATTTTTTGGTCTATTTTCAGTGGTGGTTGGTGCCACAGAAATGGCTGTAACCTCCCCTGAAGAGCTGCTCGATGCTGTGCAGATGGGAAATGCCCTCCGTCATACTTGTGCAACCAGTATGAACGAGCACTCCAGTCGTTCC